GAAGACATTCAGGCAGCTAACAGACACAGGAGGAAATGCTCGCGATCACTAGCCATTGGAGAAATGCAAATCAAAACTACAATGAGATATCATCTCACCCTGACATGACTGGCATGAATCAAAAAAGCAGAAAATAACAAATGTTGGAGAGGTTGCAGGGAGACTGGAACTCTTATGCACTGCAGGTGGGAATGCAAAATGGTATGATCATTTTGGAAAATGATATGGTACTTCCTTTAAAAGTTAGAAATAGAAATACCATATGATCTAGCAATCCCACTCCTAGGAATAGCTCCTAGAGAAGAGCCATCACACGAATAGACATATTCACACCCATTGTAGCACTGTAGCATCACATATTGCAGCATTATTCACATTCCCATCAACAGATGAATGGAAAAACAAACTCTGGTACATTCACACAATGGAATACTACACAATGATGAATCTGTGAAACATTCACACAACTTGGATGAATCTGGAGGGCATTATGCTGAATAAAATAAGTCAATCACAAAAGGACAAATATTCTATGAGACTACTATTATAAAAACTCATGAAAAGGTTTATAAGGTTTATACACAAAAAGAAACCATCTTTGATGGTTATGAGGGAGGGGAAGAGATAGGGAGGGAAAAACACTAACTAGAAATAGATAAGTGGTAACTTTGGTGAAGGGTTAGACAGTACACAATACTGGGGATAAGTCAGCACAACTTGACCAACAAGGTCATGCAAGCTTCACAGACACATCCGAACTCCTTGAGGGACTGAATTACTGGGCTGAGGGCTGGGGACCATGGTCTCGGGGGACATCTAGCTCAACTGGCATAACATAGTTTATAAAGAAAATGTTCTACATCCTACTTTGGTGAGTAGCATCTGGGGTCTTAAAAGCTTGTGAGCAGTCATCTAGGATACTCTGCTAGTCCCACCGCATCGGGAGTAAGGGAGAATGAAGAAAATCAAAGACACAAGGGAAAGACTAGTCCAAAGGACTAATGGGGCACAACTGCCACAGCTTCCACCAGACTGAGTCCAGCACAACTAGATGGTGCCCAGCTACCACCATCAACTGCACAATAATTAAAAAAAAAGAAAGAAAATTACTGTTAGAACACCATAGTAATAACTGCTGCAGGCAAGGTCCACGAATAAATGCTAAAGTAGTGATCAAAAATTTGAGGAACAGGGTATTTGTGTAGCCTTTAAGTATTCTCACCCAAATATTTATTATTTAAGGGGAAGGTAGTAACTTTACTGGAGCCCTGGTGGCGCAGTGGTTAAGCGCTTAGCTGCTAACCAACAGGTTGGTGATTTGAACCTACCAGCTGCTCCGTGGGAGAAAGATGTGGCAGTCTGCCTCCATAAAGATTTACAGCTTTGGAAACCCCATGGGGCAGTTCTACTCTGTCCTGTAGAGTTACTGTGAGTTGGCATCAATTCAAAGGCAATGGGTTTAGTAACTTTACAGTGGAGAAATCTGGCAGACACCATCTTAACCAAGTGATTATGGTGAATATCACCAGCAATAAGACATCTGACATCATGTACACCCTCTGATATCATACACCGAAAAGGGCACATCACCTCTGTGGTATTCTTTCCCAAAAGTCATTAACTTCAATCTGATTATGAGGAAAAATCAGGGAACTCAAATCGAGTGACATTCTACAAAATACCTGCTCAGTAGTATTCTGCAAGTGTGAAGGTCATGAAAGACAAGGAAAAACTGAGAAACTGTCCAAGATTGGAAGAGATTAAGGATATCTGACAACTAAATGCTAATGTGGGATCCTAGACAGGATCCTGGATAAAGGACATTAGTGGAAAAATGGGTGAAATTCGAATAAAGTCTATAATTTAGTAAACCAATGCTGATTTGCTAGTTTTGATAATTGTACTATGGTTATGTAAGATATTAACATTAGAGGAAGCTGAGTGAAGAATATAAATAAACTCTTTGTACAGTACTCACAACTTAAGTTGTATATTTAAAATTATTTCAAAATAAAAAGTTTTTAAAAAATAAACTAAAATATAAAAGAAATAGAACATTATTTCTCTCTTTCAAATGTGTAGATACCTTAATAGCAAATTCCATTAATGACATTGTTTTTTCTTAGAAAAAAATACTGGGTAAAAAACAAAATGACTGTAGTAAAAAAATAAATAAAGCTTTGAAAAACACATTATTTAGAGTTTCTTTAAGAAAATCCCCTAGTGGTCAATTAATGTAAGATATTTTTACATTATCTCCTTTGAGGATAAACCTTGGATGTTTATTTCCAAATTCGTTTCTTTACTACCTCAAGGCTATACAATGACATTGATCAGGATCTACATATTAAAAAGTTGAAATTCTCTTTTAGTCTGAATACTTTTAAAGACATGAACACAGAAAATTCCAAAACAAGTCAATCCAAGACCTTTCTTAGCCAGCCACATACACTCTAAAAGACAAGCAGCACATTCAATTGAAGGAAGAAATTCTGGCCATGTTTTCAACACACATATATCTGATTTCAATGACTATCAAATCAGCATTGACTCAGTATCTAACTTTTAAAATGAAATATTTTATGTTGACCTAGAAAAATCTAACTAATCTAAGGTTATATGGAAGAAAAGTATCAAATAAAGCATGAACTTCTTTATAGGTTTATTTCCCCTTCTTTTACTTTTAAACTCCACAGCTGAAACATAAATCTGGAGAGTTTTTTTAAAAAAAGATGTCTTAAAGTATGATTTTTGTAGTAGCAAAAGCTTTAGCAGTATTTTCTTACAGCATCCATGCAGTGCAATGAATTACTTAACATGGTCCTTCTAGCCATGGTCTTTGTGACTCACACACAATGACTGAGTGGGACTATGCAAATAAGGTATATGGAATCTGTGATGGTTGGGGTTATGTGTCGACTTGGCTAGGCCATGATTCTCAGTATTGTATGGTTGTCCTCCATTTTGTGATCTGACATAATTATCCTCCATTTTATGTGTTGTAAATCCTAACCTCTATATATTAATCAGGCAGGATTAGTGTAGGGTATATCAACAGCCTTGCAGGTGGGCGTGACTCAAGTCTCACCCTTACTCAAGTTACGCCCTTCCCTGGGGTGTGGCCTGCATCTAAGGTATATATGTGGGTGCTCTGGTGGGGTTCTCTCTCTCTGCATCTGGATCCTGCGTCCAGTTTATCACCGTCTGATCTCTTGTTCTTGGGACTTGAGCCAGCAGCCTACCATCTGACCTGCCGATTCTGGGATTAGCCGGCTTCCGCAGCCCTGTGGGCCAGTGGCCTATTATCAGACCTGATTCACCAGCTTCCGTAGCCTTGTGAGCCAGCAGCCTGTGGTCTGACCTGCAGGTTTGGGTGTGTCAGCCCCTGCAGACATGTAGGTGGGGAGAAGCCTACACCTGACCCATAGATTTGGGACTTGCCAGCCTCCACCGCTGCATGAACCATTTCCTTGACCCAGTTCTGTGAGACACTGAAGCGAATTATGGAATCCAAAGGCAGGAGGAAGAGTACTGCAGGGAGGAAGGCTAGTTGATGTTAGAGATGGTGGAGTGGTACAGCAATTTGGAAAAGCTGGACAGTTGGGACACCTTTAACCTCTGCCTCATAGGAACCGGCTTTGTGCTGATCCTTATAAAAGAAATTATTCATTTAATCCATAATTTAAGAGGAAGCTCTTATTCATAAGTTTCAATCTATGAATCAAATAGGCACTCTCCAAGCCCAGTTGAGTCTAGACCACTGCAAAACATACATAACACAGAAAAGCTGTGAAAATTCCTGTCAATTTTTCTGCATCTTAATTTTATCCAATTTTCATAATTTAAATGTATAAGCACTCTAATTCTAAGCCCATACTGATTTGAATATAAAATGCATGATGCCTATATAAGCAGTTTTTTAAACAATATAAGAAGATTGATATCTATTACATACAAAAACAAACAATAATCTGGAGACAAAATTTTCTGGTACAAACTCTGTTATTTTCTCAAACTCTATTTGTTTCAAGAGTACGCCCCATTTATACCACCTAAATACAACGCATTCATGCAGTGAATACTAATTAAATGACATTGTGATGATCTTTCACACATAAAATGTGCACTCTTCTCCTTTCAACTATAGTTCAGAGTCTTAATCGGATGCTTAATGTCAAGGTCGGTCTGTTACTCAAAAAAAAAAAAAATTCTGTCCACTTTAGAATTGACAGGTTTTATATAATATACTCCTTTTTAAACAAGACACTTCTGCCAATACACTAATATTCAGAAATAAAAACTTTTCAAATGGGAAATGATAAAATTGGGAACAAAAGAGATTATCTTTCAAACTTTTTCTTATTGTTGCCATTACTAAGATCAATCTAACCTGCAGCTTGGTGTTATACTGTAAAAAGAATACAAAGTATTTTCTTTTAGATAATTGTCCAGTTTCCCCTTTTTTAAAGGAGATTTGAAAAAACTTTTAAATTTACTTTATAAGAACACAAGCAAACAAAGACATCTCACACAACTCTTATTAGGAAATGTATGTCAGGTTATACATAATACAAAAGAGGCTGTTTTTCAAATCAAGTAGTTGCGTATAAGATGAAGATTTCCAAACCTATTTTATTTTGTTAAAATTATCTGGTAGGTAGTAGCAAAAAATTTTAAAAATCAGATTCTGGTTCCTAAAATGCAGAAATTCATTGCTTGGAAATTCTAATTTGCATGGTATATTTAAAATATAGGCATTTTTCTTCAGGCAAGAGATTCCTGAGAAGCATGGCAAAAATTTTATAGACTTTCTAGGCATCTGGAAGTTGTTACATGGAACATTAACTATTTAAACGGTGAAGAATTCATTAAAACATTTTCTGAGGTCAGACTCTCAGGGTGGACCGGAAAATTAAGATATGTTAATAAAGAAGCACATTAAAATGTAAGTTTGAAAATGAATAGTAACTGTGTAATTAAATTTTATTAAGCAGTCTTACCTTACTCAAATGAAAGAATCTAAACTCTAGTACATCTCTGGTTTCACACTCAAAATATATTTGAATCAAAACTTGAGCTTCTCATCAAATTCCTAGAAAAAACAAATTAAAAGCCTTTAAGTCAGGTTCCAATTCTAGAGAAGGAATAAGCACACTCCCATTTGTCTCTTCAAGGGAATATAGCTATAAACCCTGGACAGAATGTATGGATCAGCTACTTGAGGACTCTGGAAAGTAAACAGTACAGGTGGATTATGTAAGAGGATCAAAATTAAAAGTATCACTGAAGCAGCTATGAGTTTAAAAATTTTCCCCCTCTGGTATCCTCTGGCCTGAACTTGACACAGCCCAAACTTCAGAAGTGGACATTAGCATGGACAGAGAAAGCTTTAGGAGAATCCCTCCAGTTCTGGCTTGAGGAGAGGAGAAGGGATCTCCCACCACTCAGAAAAAGTGTGGAAGTTCACCACTTTTCTTCTTGTTTTTCCTCTCTTTTTCTTCTTCACTATTCTCTCACACCCAGCCCCCTGTGGCAGCTGTGGCAGCAGTGGCAATGAAGGCAGGTAGAAGCCTAAAATTCTGAAGGAGGGGAAACTTCCTCTCTTATAAGAGATCCCAAGAGGGTGTGACAAATCCCTATTGTTTTTTGCTTGTTTGTTTGTTTTCCTCTCTCTCTTTCTGCTGCTTGACCCCAGATATGGGCACAGTTGCAGGGAGTGTGCATTAGAAGAGATAAAGCAAACCCCAATTTTCTGGTCAGAGCTTGGAAAAGGGGAACTCTAGGGAACCAGAAATTACTGGGAGATCACAGAGAAGGAGGAGCTTGTGGGTTGTTTATGAACTCCTGGGCTCACTGCCAAGTGGCACATGTGTGGATCTGACCCAAACCAGCAAATATAGACTTTGAGAACTGAATTTGGGATAGCACACCACCTGAGTTCCAGACTAGCCACTGGGTGGCACACACGTGGTACAGATTCAAACAGCACTGCAAAGGTTTTGACAACTGAACTAACGCTGTAACCACATTCCACAGATGGCTTGCAATCTAAACCTAACTGGGTCAATAGCTTGCTAAAACAAATATAATCAACATTTACAGACCCAAAGTCTAATAACATAACGTTCAAAATGTCCAGAATACAACCTAAAATTACTTGGCATAGGAAGAAATAGAAAAATCTCAGCTTGCATGGGAAGAGACAATCAACAGAGACCAATACCAAGAAAACACTACTGTTGGAATTAACTGACAAAGATATTCAAGCCACTATTACAAAATGCTTCAGCAAGTAAGAGCAAACATTCTTGAAATAAATGGAAGGATAGGAAAACTCAGAAAAATGAGAGGATATATAAAGAAGAACTAAATGTAATTTTGGAAGTGAAAAAAATCAATAACCAAAATTTAAAAGCTCACTAGATGAGCTCAATAGTAGGATGGAGATGACAAGAGAAAGAATAAGTGAACTTTAGATGAATACATATTATCCAGTCTGACCAACAAAGATAAAAAGACTGAAAGGCGGCAGGGAAGAGGAAGAGAGAGTCTCAGGTCTAATATTTGTGTCACAGAATCCTAGCAGGAGACAAAAAAAGATTGTGGCGTAGATAAAAATAATTTTTAAGAAGTATTTTCCAAAATTTTATGAAAAACAAATTTACAGATTCAAGAAGATGAGCAAATCCTCAAACAGAATAAATACAAAGAAATCCATACCCAGACACATCCTAATCAAAAATTTAGAAAACTGAAGACTAAGAAAAATTCTTAAAAGCAATCAGAAAAAAACAACACATTACTCATAGAGGAAAAAGAACTCAAATGATTGAAGACTTCTCTCTAGAAACCGTGGAGGCCAGAAGGAAATGGAACATTTTTAAAGTGCTGAAAGAAAAGAACTGTCAACCAAGAATTCTATATGCAGTGAAAATATCCTTCAGGGATGAAAGTGGAGTAAAGATATTCTCAGATGAAGGAAAACTAAGAGGATGTGTTGACAGCAGAACTACTCTGAAAGAATTGCTAAGATAGAAATATCATCAATTGTACATAATCTCTTCCAGAAAATGTAGAAGATGGGCCCTTTCCCAACTTATTATAAGACTGTAGAGGTAGTCTCAGACTTTTGACGGGTTCCATTCCAATGACTCTGTCATTAGGTTGGTTCTGACTTAAGTGGAACACCTTTTTTTTTTTTTTTAGTTTTCATTATTATCATCTTTTATTGTCAATATCTTTATAAATTTGATCTTTGAACATCAGCAAATTACACACTGCAACACTGTATGCAGTAAATATTACTAACAATAAAATGTAAACCAAAACACCAAACTCACTGCCAAGGAGTCGATTCTGACTCATAGCGACCCTATAGGACAGAGTAGAGCTGCCCTGTAGAATTTCAAGGAGCGCCTGGTAGATTCGAACTGCTGACCTTTTGGTTAGCAGCTGTAGCACTTAATCACTATACCACAATAAAATGTACCAAAAAAAAAGATGGTCTTAAGTGCTATTCGTTGTAACTCGAATACGTCATAAATTGAGGACTACCTGTATATCCTGGTAGACCTCTCTAGTTTAACCACCAAATCACTGATTCCATTTGCTATGTTGTTAATTGTGCTTATTTCCACCTCCACATACATATTACTAACAATAAGATGTAACAAAAAAAAAAAAGACGGTTGTAAATGTGGTTGGTATGTCATAACTCGAATACGTCCTAAGTCAAGGACTACATGTACAAGACAACTACAAACCGATAACTCATATGAACATAGATGCAAAGCTCATCAACAGATTATTACCAAGTCAAATCCAATTATATCACAAATAATATAACACAACCATGTGAGCTTTATTTCAAGAATGCAAGGCTAGTTTAATATTTGAAAACTAATCGATGTAACCTACCACATGAATAGTCTAAAGAATAAAAACCATATGATCTTATCAATTGATAAAGAAAATGCCTTCACAAAATTCAACTTCCATTCATGATAAAACTGGCAGCAAATAGGACTAGAAGAAAACGCAATTTCAGAAAGAACATCTACCAGAAAAACAAAAAACCTCACCTATAGTTAACACCATTCTTAATGGTCAAGGACTGAATGCTTTCCTCTAAGATAGAGGACAAGGCAAGAATGTTCACCCTTACCCCTCCTCTTCAACCTCATAATGGAAGTCCTAGCTAGTACCATAAGGCAAGACAAAGAAATAAAGAACATATAAACTGGTAAGGAAGATATACAACTTTTCCTATTTGCAAATGACTGTCTACATAGAAAACTCCAGGGAACACATACACATATGCACGCACCTAAAAACTGTTGTATATTTAAGATAATGTACAGACAAGCTACAGATGGGGAGATAATATTACAAACCACATACCCAACAAAAGACCTGCATCTAAAATATGTAAAAAATTCTAAAAACTCAAAAGTAAAAGAAAAAAAAAATCCAATTTAAAAATGAGTAAAAGCACACTTTTTAGAATGGCTAAAATCCAAAAACCAAATGCTGCTGAGGATGCAGAGCAACAAGAACTCTCATTCACTGTTGGTGGAAATCCAAAACAGAAATGCCACTTTGGAACACAGTTTGGCAGTTCCTTATAACGTAAAATACACACTCACCCTAAGACTAAGCAACTGAACCGAAATTTACCCAAGTGAAATACAACTTACGTTAACACAAAAACCTGCATGCAAATGTTCATAAAAAACTTTATTCATAATCATCAAAAACTGGAAGCAACCAAGATGTTCTTGTTAGCTTCAAAAGGTGAATGGATAAACAAACTGTGGTACATCTGTACAATGGAATACTATTCAGCAAAAAAAGGAACGAACTATTTGAATCACACAACAACATGGACAAATCTTAAATGCATTTTGCTAAGTGAAAGAAGTTAGATTCAAAATACGATATATCATTCCATTCATATGATGCCCAGATATTGGTTTCTAAAAATAATTCTCCAACACAAGAAACTAGGGCTCCTTAGAGAAATGGCTGATACTACGGGCAGGGTAGAGAAAATAGCTGACCAGTGCCTGCTTAAAACTATCAAAAACAAAAAACCATTGCAGTTGAGTAGATTCTGACTCACAGCAACCTTATCGGACAGAGCAGAACAACCCCACAGGGTTTCCAGGAGCTGCTGGTGGATTTGAACTGCCTAGGGGCTAGGAGTGCGGGAAGGGTGCAACAACAAAGGGACAGAAGTGGGAGTTTTCTGAGCTACTGGAACTGTTCTGGATCATGATGGTGCTGGTGGTTACACGCATCTATACACGTTAAAATTCATCAACTATACACACAAAAAGGGTAATTTTACTGTATGTTCATTTAAAAAGCAAAATTTGCGATACTTAAATAAACAAAAAACCTTTGTCATTAAGGCTTTTCCAGGACATTTAGCTTTGGATTTTATAGTCTGTAAAAATCCTCATTTATTTTGCCTAATGTTAAGACAGAGCAAGTGACAAACTTCTCTACTGACTTCCTGACATGGAGGCTCACTGGGGGATCAACAGCCTAAATGTCAGTTATTCTAGGCAGTGCACCAGCTGCAGAGGGTCTAATCTGCTAACCACCACAACCTCACCTACCGAAGAGTAAATCCTGACATCTGCTTAGTGGCATCATATAAGACAGAGCTTTCAATAAAGATTTTTTTTGTTTTTAGATACTGATTTAAAGGCAGTAGAGAATTCCAGGAGGAAAAAAAATGTGATTAATTCTACCTCAGTTGCATAAAGAGCAATCTGAAAATAAAAAAGCAAAACATATTAATTTGTTCCCATCTTTTATTTTCAGGGAAAAAATGAGTTGCCTTATTTGAATAAGTAGGATGAGAATAAGCAAGGATGTAAACCAGACAGCATAATACTGCAGAATTATTATACTCTTCTGCAAGATTTTATTTATCTTACATCAACTCAGTGGTACAACAAGCTTCCAGTGAATTATTACTATGCTATACATATATGAGGTCACAAAACATTAAAATCCATACAACAGGAATTAATTCAAATGGGGAAAAAAAAAAAAACTAAGTACAAGGGCTGCTCTGAACACCTATATTATATTATTTAATCTATTTGATTTCTAAATTTATCTTAGGTTTTTTTAAGAAATCATATTTAGTCAACTATTTTTATTTAGGCTAAACTCAATGATTACTTGTTTTTAAGGATACCAGTGGTCTCAGTTGTGCTAGCAAATTTTGCAACAGTTTCACATTGCTATACTTTATTTGAAAGATCAGAGAGAGAGACAGCAGGAAAAAAAAAAAAAAATCCAGTCTGCAACTGCACTGATTACAAATGGAAAACAAAGAGCCTCTGTAAGGAATAGCTTTTACCATAAGGGTTTTGTTTTCCAAGTATTACATTC